CTCAGTCCCGGCGGTACCCCGCGCCCGCCGGCCCCGCCTCCGGCCCCGCCGCCGAGTTTCCACTCCCAGTTCCCGCGGCGTCACGTGACCGCGGGCCCAGCCTCCGGCCCTGCTGCCCAGTCTTCCCCGTGGGTGCGCGTCACGTGACTGCGGGCCCCGCCTCCGGCCCTGTTAGCGATTCCCGTTTTCCTGGTTCGCGTGACATTACGTGAACGCCGTCAGTGCTCCCCTATTTACTCTGTCCGCGCTCCAGTCGTCGGTTAGGCGAGGAGCAGACGGGCATCTGAAGTGGAGATGGCAGCCACGCTGCAGCGCATTGAGCGACTGTCCAGTCGGGTGGTGCGTGTGATGGGCTGTAACCCGGGTCCCATGACCCTGCAAGGGACCAACACCTACCTGGTAGGGACCGGCCCCAGGTAAACGTCCTTCTTCTTCCCCCTCAAAATATACACCCGCCCGTGACGCCTGTGGGGCTGGGGCTGCTGCGAATGCTTGCCCAGTTCCCACGCCGGTCTGCACACACATGCACGGATTCCCGAGCTCTGCTAAATTAAGAACGCCCGGTTGATAACCTCTCTAATTTAGGGGACGTAGTGAAAACAAACCCTTAACTTCCTGTTTTGAAACCCTGTTTTTTGCTTGATTGAATGCCTGAGTGAGCGTGTTTAAGATGTTGAGAAATTAGGATCTCCTGGAGTTAAGAGTTCAAAAAAGTGCTTGCTTTGTTCATCTGACTTTCTCCAGTGCTTTGCCTGCAGTGTAACCTTTGTTCACAGAAGTGATCAATTGTGAGACAATCTCTCACTTGGCAGCAGAGGGCAGGATTTTCTTCCAAATTGCTTAAGTGTGTAAAGCCGGAAAGAGTCCCTTAGCCCGCGGGAGAGAGCTGACCATAATTTTGGTTCGTGTTAGAATTGTGTGTGACCTTTTTTGAGTTAATTTGCAGACAGAATAATATTTGCAGTTTTAAGATATTCTTTTGTTCAGCTACTTTGTGTTTTAGTAGGATCATGCAGAAATAGGTTTGTCTTAGTAGGCAAATTTGGGGTAGGCTATGCTAGATAACCTAGTTAGGAATTAAAGTAAGGTTAGTACCTCTTGAACATGGACTTTGATTCTGCAGTCAGGCTGTTACAATGAATAAAATACTGTTAGTTAAAACAATTAAAAGAAGCATAACTCATTGAGGTTTTGTTTGAAATACAGATATTCCTTGATAACAGTGGGGTTACATCCCAACAAACTCACTGTCAGTTGAAAATGTGTCTAAAATGCATTTAATACACCTGATTTACCAAACATGATGACTTAGCCTAATCTACCCTATATATGTTAAGAACATTTATATTATTAAATCATCTAACACAAAGCCTATTTCATAATAAAGTGTTGAATAATATGTAGTTTATTGACTGCTATACTAACAGTGGGGGAAAAAAAAAACAGAATGATTGCATGGGTACCAAATATATATATCAAATCATTGTATGTCAAGGACATCTGTATCTCTGTATTTGCCTTTTTCTGGTAAATTAAAAATTGTAGAAGCCACAGGATGGGAGGAACTGGAAGTACTGTGAGTAGTAAGGCGGGCAAAAAGGTAAATGCCTATAGTAAATAACACAGGGTTAGGTAGGTACAAGAACTTTAGGCTGCCCTACCCCCCCCCCAACCTGGGAGAGGGGAGACACACAGATTTGGGGGATACATGCCTCCTTGACTGGCACTCCCTGAACCAAGAAAACCATAGATGTTCTCTTTTTAATGTATCATCTAAAGCTATAAAATCAGTACATACAGTGAAAATTGCATATAGCCAAAATGCCCTCGGAAGTCTCTTAGAAGAACACCATTGTTGGGGGACCAGCAGTTAGCGTAATGGCTATGTCTCTGAACTGCCATGTAATCGACCGCAGTTCGAGCCCCAGACCCCATGGCTTAAACTTACGCAGGGCGTGTGTGCATGTGTGCCCAAGATGCCGAGAGGAGAATGGAGGAGAAGGAATTGCAGCGTGGCCATCCCCCCCGGGGGGTGATTTCTTGCTTTCTGTCTCTCTTTCTCTGTGTCTCTGGCAAGTGCTATGCGCCCTATAACAAAAGCCTCTCAAAAAAAATAAAATAAAATAAAGAACACCATGTTGGAAATCAATGTACTGCCTGAAGTTCTACACAGTCTCCTTTTTTCCCAGCGTTGGAACAGATGGCTGGCTCTGTTTGAAACCAGATGAAGTTGGCTTGCATTTAAGGGCCATGTTGTATGAAAAATACATACTATATCTTTAAATATTAGACTCACACTCCATGTAGGAAAGTGCTTGTGCTAAAAGCAATTTAAAGGACCTGAAACTGACTGAGGGAAGAGCAGATTCATGTCTCCCATCTTTAACTACTTAACACTATTACATAAACTCATAGAGTGAAATGGCCATAGAATCGTTCACACTATTTAAATTACTTCTCCGATAAATTAAGTGCAGATGCTGCCACTGTACTGTGTAAGGTAAAAAGTGGCTGGGTGTGAATAGTAATTAGGTCCAAGTCAGATGTCCTGAGATTGATGCCCCTTGTCTGATTTCACAAAATACTTCTAAGATCACTGGTGGCTCCCGTATCACTAAGCCCAATGGCGTTTTTCTATTGCCATCTTCCTTGAAATGTCAGTATCTTTGAAACCATTGACTGCTCCTTCCTTGCCCTGCTACATCCTTCAGGCTCCCCTTTTACGTCTTTAGCTGTTCTTTCTTATTCTCCTTTATACAGTTGTCATCTTTCCCAGATCTTTGTCTGAGTTCCTTAAGATAAAATCTTAATCTCTCTTCTGTTTCTCATACTATATTCCTACCTAGGTTACCTTGTCTACTTCCTTGACTTTGCCCGTTCATTAGTAACTTAAATTTATAACTCCAATTTATATGAATTTCAGACTTGCTTTCTTAAATCTACTCACATGACTCACAACCACTTAAACTCACTTTTTCCCTCGCTGAATTGATGGGTTTTCCCACTAAACCGGGTCCTCCTCCAGTTGTCCCTATCTTGGCAAACAGAACCATCCTCATTTGATCAAGGGAAATACCTGGATATTCTTCATGAATTTCTTGGTTTTTAATCACACTTCCAGTAAGATCTCTTCATGTCCACTGCTTTTATCCAGTCCATGTCAGCATAACTCTTAGACTTTCTTAGCAGCTTTCTAACTGGCGTCTCTGCATCTGCCTTTATGCCTCAGCAATCTATTCTCCCCCGTGTGGGCAGAATAGTATTTTTAAATCGAAAGGCCTCGCCTCCACCTGCTTCATCAGGCAATCTCAAACCTCTCTCATTCGGCCATGCAGGCTGCTTGCATTCGGCCACATAGGCTGCTTTCTTTATACTGTCTCAGATGAATTGTGTTCCTGCCTCAGGGCTTGCATGCATGCTTTCCTCTCTGTCTCTCACTGACCCCTCCCATCTTTATTCAGATAATTATTTATCCTTTGGAGCTCAGAGGAAATACTTCCTTGGGCAGTCTGGAGGGATGTTGGCTAAGGTGGCTGACCACACAGTTCAAGCCCCAGACCACATGGCTTGAAAAAAACACCAGGTACACATGCCTACCTGCCCAAAATCCTGAAAGGAGAAAGAAATGGAGAAGGATTGTGGTGTGACCATTCCCCGTGGTGGGTATTTTGTCACTTTTTTCTGTCTCTCTAGCAAGTGTGTAAGCCCTTTGACAAAAATTCTATATATAAGAGCCAGCAAATGGCATAGTGATTACGAGACTGGACTCCTATGTGGCTGACTGCAATTTGAGTCCCGGATCTAGTGGCTTGAAAATCATGCTGGGCTTATGTGCGTATGTGTGCCCAGGATCCAAGGAGGAGAAGGGATGACAGTGTGGCCGTCCCCCAGGGTGATTTTTCACTGTCTCTGTCTCTCTCTCTCTACCTCAGCAATCATAAAATTATATTTTTGTGTAAAGAAGAAGCTTAATATCTTCCCCATCTCCATGACCCACTAAACATAAGTTCAATAAAGATTTATTTATTGCTATATCCCAAGGGCCTTGTAGGCAGCACTGGTAGTACAGTAAATATTTACTGAATGAGCATTCTCTACACACATGTGTGTCCAGGATCCTGGCAGGCCAGTGGAAGGGATTGCAGCAACTGAGCCCTGCAGAGTATGCTCATAGGCATACTTCCTCATCCTCTTGCATGTATTAGTAGAAGTCAGTTCCACTAACTTTCCATCAGTTGAAGAATTTTTTCTCCATTCATATAGATTCTTGTGTGCCTACTCTTTGCCAATCACTGCTCTAATGAATACATCTGTCATTGACCTATACAGATCCATTTACCATCTTAGTAACTATAACATGCTTTGCAAAGTGACCTCCAGGGATTGGGATAGTGTCTGTGGTCATGAAAAAACAGAGCCAACCAAACCACATAGAAATGGTCCCAGGGGCTAGCAGGTGACATGGTGGTTAAGGCACTGGATTCCCACATGGCCATTCACAGTTTGAGTCCCAGACTTCATGGCTTGAAAATCGCATCAATCATGTGCATGCACACCCAAAATCCCAGAAAGGGAATGGAGGAGAAGGGATTGTAGCTTGGCCATCTCCCCTGAGGAGTAATTTCTCACTTTCCTTCTCTCCCTTTAGTAAGTACACACACCGTGTGGCAAAAACCTTAAAAATAAATAAATAAAGACATGGACCTATCTAATCATCTATAATAACAATCCAGATGTTAGACAAAATACCTGTTGAAGGGAGAAACTGAGAACTTCTTTTTCTAATTTATAACTGAAGTTTTATTTATTTATTGAAGAATAGCTCTAGGTGCTTGTCTAAGCAGTCCTCTCCTGCCAGAGATACAGTAAGCATCTCGAATGGAGAAGTCACTGGATGGCGGATCTGAACATCTGGTGCTTCCCATCACTGTCTCTGACCTGGAACAAATCATTTAACCTTTCTGAAGACTAATTTCCCTTTTTATAAAATGAAATAATATTACCTCTCTAGAACTTATCTGAGGATTAAAAGAGATAAGAAATATGAAAGCTTCAAACGGTATAAATTGCCATGTCAAATGTGAGAGATTACCACTGAACTTTTCTTTCTCCTAGTGCTTGGCACCAACTTGGTTTTTCCGTTTTATGGCATCTAGACATTTCCCCTTCATTCTGTATAGATTGATTGTGTTTATTTCAGGACTTGTGACAGTCTTGTTTTTCTCACTTTGACAGTCCTTTCTCTGCCAATCCCAATTTTGTTAGACCAATAGAGGAATATGAGGAGACTAGCAGATGGCATAAGCGTTATGTCGCTGGACTCACACATAGTCAACCACAGTTCGAGTCCCAGGCTGGAGCTTAAAAACCTATGCCAGAAGCGTGTGTATGTGTGCCCAAAATCTCAAGAGGAAAC